TAGTGATAAAAAGGTGACTAATTAAATGTGGGATCTTGTATTTATAGAGTGTGGGCGAACACTCATTTGGAATGGGCTAGGCTTGCATGGGAATCCATGGATAGTCCATGGAGCTTTTGACCCATGGATCCTTGGAATGGAAAAGACATAGGTATTAGGGTTTACAAGGATGTAACCCTAATCCTCCACACTATATAAAGGATCTTATGGTTCTTGAAATGGCCCTAGTGTGTGTGTGTGTGAACAAGTAGTGGCCGATTTCTACATAGCATACTACTCTCTCATAGTTTTTCCAAGTTTGTGGTGTTTTGTGACTTTCATTTGAGGCATCCACATTATTGGTGCTAGGCTATCAAAATCCAAGGAAACAATCACTACTAAAAGGTATGTAATTCTTGTAGCATTTTATGATTCATGTTCCCCATGCCATGCCAGTTAGGATGTAAACCTTGGAAATTTATTATTTGCATGTATGTTATAGAAAACATAGATCCAAGGTTTCTAGGGTTGCATGTACACCTTAGGAATGTTAGAATGCTCAAAACCCAACATCAACAATAACATAACTAATGCGCATACAGATAATCACATAACATCACAGGTAGTCCTACATATATACCTAACTGGCATAGCAACTAGCATGCAACACTACTCATACTCTACATACTACCACTGTTGGGATATCATATCCAATGGGCCAGCCTTGGTGCCCTAGACCCCTTAGTATAGTGAGGATAACTCACCTCGCAACTTTCGACTCGAAAGGTAAGCTCAAACTCTCGGATCCGTCACAAACTCCACCACCTATATTCACCATAGAACCATACTTGTAAATTTCCAATTTCCTAAAATGCCCCAGAATTCCAATAGTCGAACCTTGGTCAAATTCAAAGTCAACTACCAAGTTCAACAGTCCATGTTGACCTGAACTCTTCGAGTACAACCAGCAACTCGCCGAGTTCCTTACATAACCCGTCAACTCGTCGAGTTCCTAATGTTTGTGGTCGTGAACTCCTTGGCCAACTCGTCGAGTTTCCTTAGCAACTCGCCCAGTTCACACGTGTCAAAAGATTGGGAAAACCCTAACTGATTTGCCGAGTCACTCTACTGACTCGCCGAGTTTACGATAATCTTCATCGGACTCACTAAGTTGACCATGCAACTCGTTGAGTCCCTTCAGACCTTCATCCAAACAGATGCTTTTTAAGCCATGCAAAGGCTCCATATTGTAGATACAACTTCCCAAGGTATGCTTACCACGTAAAGTTGCAAACTTTACGTGCATGCAAAGCTCTAAAGCCTTAAAATGACAAAACTAAGCTTGCAAGGAAGTCTTGCACTTGAGGGGAGGTTCATACTTGCCAAAGCTAACAACTTTATGGACTTAGAGGCCAAAGAGAGCTCAGATTTGAAGTTTCAACTTTAGATCTTAGCTCAAACATAAGAAAGGCTTCCTAAAAACCCACCCAAAAAGATCTAGGAAGAAATGAGCCAAGGTAACAACTTAATACCTTCAAAAGGGTGTCCACTGAAGTAGATCTCTGATTCCCATGAGTTCCTTGTTTTTAATCACTTGTTCCCCAAGCGTTTCTCACCAAAATCCTTCTTTAAAGCCTAAATACACCCAAGAAGCATACACACACACACACATGATTTAGGGTTTTGGAATGTCAAGAGGCTGTAAGGGGAGGCTGAGGAGGCCAATGGTCCTTTAAATAAGGTGAAAACCCCGAAAATTAGGGTTTCATCCTCCATCTCCTACTCGTCGAGTCCCATCTTGGACTCGGCGAGTAGGTCACTTAAACACGTGGACCAACCCGCTGCTACTCGACGAGTCAGGGCAACCAACTCGTCGAGTAAACCTTGAAATCAAGGAAATCTTATAACAAAATCAATACTTGAGAATTGGGGCATTACACTCGGCCCACACGCGCACACACACACACACAGATATATATATATATATATATATATATATATATATATGTATATATAAAATCTAACAAGTTTAACACATCACTAATACTCAATGGTAATCCATGCTTAATATATAGTATGTATCAATGCATGGTGTAATAGCCTTCAAGTATTAACCAACCTAAAATCTCTCTTCTCTCTTCTTATCCTTGGCCGAGAGCACCCTTAATCATCCTCACTTCACCTATTTTTCACCCACTAAATCCTCTCTAAACTCCCAAGAAGTCTCTTAGTTTTCCTCTTAAAATTGTGAATTGGTGTGTGCTTTCAAGGGGTTCTTCAATAAAGATTCATCCTTTTTAACTCCATAAGTTCGAAGATCTCTTCAAGGAGCTTGTTAGGCCGAAAACTCCTTATACCTTCTTCAAAAACCGAATCCATCAACCAAAGTGAGTTCATACCCCCTTGCTTTCGGTTTTTACTATGTTTTGGGGAGGATACAAGTTCCTATGTGTTAGATCTATGTATTTGTGCATGTTTATGTGTGTTTTCTATGCTATGTGTTGTGATTATGTGATGAAACTTCATAAATCTCAAAAGCTCTACCAAAACTTGGTGAAAGCCTTTTTGACAAGTCACAGTTTTATGGGCTAACGTTGTCAAATTTCACAAGATTGAGCCTTATTTAGTGATTCACGGTTTCATGGGTCTAAAATGAAATTTTTGGCTTTTATTTGGCTAAAATGTCATTTTTATCAAACATAGGCCGAAATTGTAATTTTCCTTAAATTTGGGCTAAAAATGTCATTTCCAATATATTTGGGTCGGAAATGTTATTTCTATCAAAAGTGGGCTGAAAATGACATTTGATTCAAAATGAGTCCTTAAAAGTAAACTTTCGGCCTTAATGGGCCTTAAGTGTCATTTTTACCAAAATTAGGCCTAAATTGTAAATTCTCGGCTTAACGGGCCTAAAGTGTCATTTTACTAAAGTGGACATTTACAACCAGGCTAATTAAATCATTTTCACTTTTATTGGGCCTTGTTTACCCATTTCATGTTTAGTGGGCCTTAGTGGTCCCTTTACATGCTTATTGAGCCTTGAATATACATTTCATGTTTAGTGGGCCTTAGTGGTACTTTTACGTGCTTATTAGGTCTGGAATATAGATTTCATGTTTAGTGGGCCTTAGTGGTCCTTTTACATGCTTATTGGTCTGGAATATGCATTTCATGTTTAGTGGATATTAGTTGTCCTTTTACATACTTATTGGGCCTGGAATATACATTTCATGTTTAGTGATCCTTTTACATGCTTATTGGGCCTTGTTTACACATTTATATTCATTGGGCCTTGTGGTCTCAATACATACACGAAAACATTATTTACTGCGTTAAATGATGTGATACAATATTCGCGTAAATTTAGTTAAGGTTATTGTGAGACACGTTTTCATCGGTACCTACCTAGTGTACGACTTTAAGTCCTGTAGTTATAACCAGAGTCTCCTGGAGGGAGAGCGGGAGTTTGTGTATAGATCTATACGAGGTTGTCACCCTACACCTTAGTTGTTCGCTACAGCTAGACTAGGCCAGTCTAGGGTGACAAATATCTTACCTTAAACATGTCGACGCCTGAAAAACGTCTAGACAGGCAGATCAATCATATCAAGCATGGTTATAATGACTTACATAGAAATTAACTTCACTGTAAATTTACGGAATGCATATACATTTTTGGTGATACAGAGTCATACATACATTGTCACTCGGTCTTAGGATTTTAAGACCATAACACTTTTACAATCAGAAAATATCAGATTTTTCTAGGAAATCATACAATTATACAGAACCTTCTACTTACAACAGAAAATATAGAATTTTCTGGATTACTCTCTTTATACATTTTTCAAAACAGTAACACACATGCAATAATACAAGATTTGATACATAGGGCGTGTTTGGCACGGAGCTTTTGGAAGCGTTTGGGAGCTTCTAGCTTTTAGTTTTTGACAAAACGCTCTAGTTTAAACAAAAAGCTTCGTTTGACAGTACGAGCGTTTAGCTTTTAGTTTTAACAAAACGCTTCGATTCTAAAAGCTACTTCATGTAGCTTTTAACAAAACGCTCCGGAACTTTTGAAATCAATTTCCATAATTACCCTTAAAAATATATTTATATATTTTTTTATTTTTTATAAATTGTCCTTTTATGTAATTTTATATATTTCAAAAGCTTCCAGCTATTTTTGCCAAACATTCATATAACAAATAAAAGCTACAGCTTCCCGCTACCAGCTACCAGCTACACGCTACCAGCTACCCGCTACCAGCTAACCGCTACCCGCTTCCAGCTAACAACTAATTTTGCCAAACACGCCCATAGACTTTCAAATCATTTTTACAGAAAATATCGGATTTTTTGGTGTTTACAAAACGATACAAAACGTTTATACAAATATGCCTATGAACTCACCAACATTATATATGTTGACGTTTTCAAAATAACTTGTATTCTCAGGAAATCGCTAAACAAGTTGATCATCAAGAAACTCGTGGATTTTGTCGTATTTTGTTATCATCATACATTGAATATTTTGGTATGTAATATATGATACAACACTTGATGTAAACAATGACGATTGTTATATTGTATGTGTGATGATGATGATGTTTTGTTTCAATTATATACATTGTGATGATATTACAAGATGAAGTTTCAAACCAAAAAAACCCAAATGCATTCATTATTAGTGAAGAACACATCACAAATACATACACACACAAAAGACTTGGAAGGAATTCAAACTCAGATCGAATATAATTTCTGGACTAGTCTCTCAAGCGTCATCGATTGGTGTGGAGAGTTTATGCCTAGCGAAGAAGATGGCATGCCATAAGCATTATGATGGGATCCGATACAATATTTTTCTTCCTAAAACTAGATCATAACAAAAAAAACCACACACACACAAAAAGTGGATCTAGGAGACGAAGACTGAGGGTTACAGATCTTCATTTTGCTCAACTCAGGCCTTTAATCGAGAAACTCTAAAGATATGGCGGCTTTTGTAATTTACCTACATGGCGGTTTGGGTGAGGGTTTGTGTCGCATTAAGTGGTGGTGACAACGAGATAAAGAAAGATGGTGAAGAATGGTAGTATAATAGGGGTAATATATATATATATATATATATATATATATATATATATATATATATAGAGAGAGAGAGAGAGAGAGAGAGAGAGAGAATTATTAAGTATTAAAAATAAAAAACTAAAAATCAAAGAGCATTTTAGTTTTCCGAAGGACAAAAACTTCAAACAAACTAGCTCTAAATGACCATGAAATTAAAAAAAAATTAAAGTTTGGACTAAACATCATAAAAAATATATATTAACGCCTTGATCCCGAGTTTTTTTTTTTTTTTTTTTTTTTTTTTTTTTTTTTTTTTGGTAAATTCGTTAAAGGAAATGGAAGGAAAATTTTGACAAAAAGAAAGGGAGGTGAAGAAAAATATTCATTATTCCGTGTTCCCGAGTTCGAAGAAAATGAAAGTAAAATTTTAAGTTTTATTTTCTTTTCCTGTTAACTCGGGAACATAAAACTTAAAATTTTCCTTTCTCTCACTTTCTTTTCAACTCCGCCCAATTTGGAAGAAAAATATGACTCAAAAATATTTCCCCTTCCCTCACTTTCCTTCCATTAATGAAACTTGAGAACACGATTTTTCTTCAATACCTCTCACTTTCCCTCCGTATCCTCTCATTTCTCTCCTTAAGTGGAACTCGGAACAAACGCTTAAAAGTGATATTTTTTCAGTTTTATCTTAATTTTTTATTCTTAAAATAGAACCAAAAGTGCAGAACACATGTATACCCGAAGGACCAACGATGTAATTTACTCATAGAAATTCTGACCCCCCGATTAAAAAAACCGAAGAACACAATTTACAACTGGAATCCAATAGGAGGAATATAAAACAAAACATGAACCCTAGTTGAAGTACAGTGGTTGACGAACCGCCTTGCAGCTGCGGCTTGTTTCTCGATTTTTGTTATCAGGTAAATCCTCCGATTTGTTTTGCATCTTGTTGTGTGCTGTTTGGTGCGTGTCAATCCTCGTTATGAAAATCAAATCGGAGGCATAAATTACAGATACAAAACTTGAAATTATAAGATTGGATTTTTCTTATAAGAATGGAATTATTGGTATCAGTGATTGTGTTTCGTGTCTTTGCTTTGTTTGTATCGATGCCAGAGAAATTTTGAAACTTTATGTGGTTTTGAAGAGACTTAAAGGCTTTGGTAAACTCCAACGACTAAACTTGAAATTAAAAGATCGTTTTAAAAAAAAAAAATGGGATCTTGGTATCAATCAATGCAATATGCATTGCGTGTCTTGTATTAAATTTTGAAACTTTATGTGGTTTTGGAAAGCCTTTGGCACACTACAGCGACTAAACTTGAAATTCCGAGATTGGGCTTTTTCTTATAAGAATGGAATTGTTGGTATGAATCAATGTATTGTGTGTCATGGTGCTGTCTGTATCGACGCTTAATATTTTGGAGAGTTTCAAAAGCATATGGCTGAGAATGATTTTTAGAAAACACGGTTGGAAGGTGTGTTTGCTAGCAGAGTGGTATTTGTTGCATATATAGCAAACTGGAATCTGTCTGTCAGTCCTTTGGCTGTATATATGGATTGCTAAGTAAATTTTGGTTTGATTTTGATGATTTCATAAGATCCTTATCCTTGTGTTATGTGTTTGAAGTTTGAAGGGATGAGAGGAGAAGTAGAAGATGTTGTGGAGTTGATGCATCGTATACAAGCACGGTTGCCAGTAAAAGATGCGGCCCGTACGAGCGTGTTGTCCAAGTCATGGCTACATGCTTGGTCTACCATCCCTACCCTCAGGTTGTATGCTGGAAGAGGAAAGAGCATGAAGTTGGTGGATGTGGACCAGACTCTGATAAGGTATCTCCATGACAACATACCAATCGAAAGCTTTGAGCTTAAGATGGACATGCGGAACCAGGAGTCGGCTTCTCATGCTGAAAAATGGATAGGATTCGTGGCAACCAAAACTAGTCTCAAGGAGTTTTCCCTCTCAGTTTACCTAAAAGGTGCCTCCTCTTTTACGTTGCCAGATGAGTTACTCTTGGGTGAGAATCTAACTAAGATAAGAGTTGGAGCTTCATGGGGGACCGATATTTCTGTTAGGATGACGACTAGCCGTCATCCTGTGATCAAGTGTGTGTCCCTACGAGAACTGCACTTGGCTGGTGTGCACATAAGTGAAGAGGCACTCAATGACATGCTGTCGTCCTGTAGCTCGCTTGAGAAGATAAAGCTTTCAAATATAGATTTTGGTTCCTGCGAGGGGTTCAACACCATCAAGGTTATAAACCTTCCTCGTCTTTACGAATTAAGCATAACTTTGGATGCTGCTTTGGAAATCAGTAATGTCCCAAATCTTGCTGTGTTTAGCTACGATCTACTTCGTTCGGGACAATTTCCATTCGATGCAAACCTCCATTCAATGTCGTTAAGCAACGTGACACAGTTAATGTTAGGTGGTATGGTTCGGGACAACGTGTGTCTGGACATGATCAAGTCAAGATTTCCTTTTCTCGAGAGTTTGACCCTTGATATGAAGTCTTGGATGTTGGGAAGCTTCCATTTCACATGCGCTTCAATCAAGATATTGTCCTTGACGTCACACAAAAAGCTTTTCGACGTACAAGTTTGTGCTCCAAAATTACTTTTCTTCTCATTCTCTGGCGACAGCGTATTGCCTGATCTCCTGTTTCCAGTCTCGTCTCTCAGGCAAATCAAACTCTCACTCTCACTCGACCTTCCTCTTGATGCTTCGTTTTTTCTTAAGCTGAGGGAAGCCCTCATGTTATCACGCAAATGCGACCTTTGTATAAGTATAACCAACAACTCTAATAATAGTATGCCATTGGACATCGACGAACTAAGAAGAAAGCTCATGTTTCCTCCTGCTACGAATGTGCAAGAACTCGAGTTTGAAACGGATGAAGATGAATGCCTGTGGGAACGATCCCCATTTTTTGATGCGTTCTTTGAGATTTGTCATCCCAAGCAGATATATGCACGCCCAGACAGGCACTACAGACACAACAATCACTTTTGCAGGCTCATGCTCAGGGAGCTCTTGGAGAAGAAAAAGTCCACTGCTATTTGGCCTCATCGCCTACAACATGTTCTAATAAGACCACTTCCTCATAAAAAATGGAGAACCCTAACAAATTCCCAGAGAACCTTACTACAAGCCTTGACTCCTGTTGACTTCAAACTAAAGTGGCGTTGATCATCATCTCTTGCTTCGGTTATTTGTTTTACTATTTATTGTCTTTATTTATCCTGTTTGTTTAACACATACTTAGGATGTTATACTTAATTTGCATAAGGATACAACAACCCACCTTTTTAGTTTTAGCTAAACATTTTACACCCTATTCATACGCCAACCTTCATGCGTCATCTTTGCAAAAATCTCTACTCAAAACATATTTAGTTTTTATTTTATATAACATCATCTTAACTGATATTATATTTACTATAACTTCCAACTAAAGCTCACAACCATTCAGGATTTGAATTTAACTCTACCTTGTTTAATGCATTCGTGGTCTTTCTGGTGAATGTTTGCCTACAGCAATAACTTACTATTATGGTGGAGAGAATGGTCTTCCATCCACGAGCTTCTCTCTCCATCATCCTATAACCATCGAAAGGCCTTGAGCTCTCTCTTTAAATGATGATGTCACTACATGTGTTGACATGACAAGCCTAGTCAACATCCCACGTTAACAAAATCTGACACATTAGTTTCGAGGTTTGGCAATCGGCTAATGCGTTTAAACTAACATAGCATGTGACAAAAATGTCATGACTTCCTCTATCAAACTCCAAAACACTTTTTTTTTTGTTTAATTTTTTTTTTTTCAGACCAACAAACATTTTTTTTGTACAGGGGACAACTTCTGCAAACAGTAATAACTTTTCATTGAAAACTATACTCATGAGCTTTCCAAGTATGCTATGATATTAGGATGAGATATAAAATCAAAAAACCAACTCGGAACAGAACCGATATAATCGGAAAATGCTTAAACGGTCCGAGTGGGTCTGAAAATTAGCCTTATCCGGGTTTCGGGTATTCGGGGTACGAGTCCAACGGTATGGGTATTTTGGGTTTTAGCCAATGTTTTAAACCCGGGTCGACCCGACCGGTTCAACCGGTTGGACCGTGATCCGGGGTAGAAGGCGAGTCAATTAAGAATGTTTTTTTTGTAAAAATACGGACCGGATCGAACCTGCCGGGTTTCCCTTAAACCGCGGTCGAACTGTTTGTGTTGAGTCGGTTAAAACCGGATTGACTCGTTTTAATAGGGCTTGGATACAAATATGGACTGGATCGAACCGTTTGTGTCGAACCAGCTTCTCAATCACAAGGTGACCATGTTGATCATGAAGTTGATAGTGAATTTCAATTACTAAGTGACCGCGAGATCGATGCTTATAATACTTAAAATTTTCAAGATCCATGATTTGGTTTGGTCGTGGTGCGTTTGGATTTGTCTAAAACTATGTTTTGTTTTGTTATTTATACTTTATGTGGCTGTTTATTGTGTTTAGATTGATCTATAACATGTTTTGATATGTTTTTCAATGTTTAAACTTTGTGGACATCAAATTATTGGTTTTATATGTTTATGCATTATACAGGAAAGTAAATAGATATGAAAATAGAAAAAGACCATAAACCGGGTTGACCCGACGATTCGACTGGTTGAACCGGTCATCACACCGGGTCATCTAAAAACCCGGGTTTTAAAACATTGGTTTCAGCACCGTATTTGGAAAAAAAAAACTGGAATCGGGTTTAATGGACATGAACCGGTTTATTGGGCCTGAATTTGAATTGGTATAAAAAAAAAAGACGCATGCTGCAATTTTGGAAAACATAAAAGGAAGCTTGTGTGGTTCTCTATGCAAAATGAAAAATTCATTGGATGGTTTAAAACATAGGAAATAAGTGGATGTAGTCTCTTGATATGTGTAAAGGAAATTGCTAATGTCAAAGAATTTATCTTTTGCTTTTATGTTCATGTTTTCAAAGTTCAAATGTTTTCAAAGTTCAAAGTTCAAAGTCAAGAATGCATATCAAGTTTGTACATCAAACTTAAAAGATAAATAAGTTTGTTTGAATATAGAGTATTAAAATAGGAAAGTGAAAAATAAGCAGCTCTGGAGTCCTATAATCCTACAAAAAGACAAGTTAGTATGGTTGTTTTCATATCTTTAATTACAAAGAAGCATTGACATACAAATAAGCAATGACGTACAAGCCTACAAAAAGTGGTTGCTTCATATGTTTAATTGCAAAAAAGCACCTCATAAAAAATCATGACTATTTTTATCCATGTTTTATGAAATAAGTAAATGATGCAAATGGAGTTGGGAGTTAAGTGAAACCTTAAGAATATAAAACTGTTAAGAATGAGAGGTAGGTCGACCTTTTTTTATTTTTTTTCTTGTTAATAAAAAAATTGGGACATATTGATTTTACCATATTTTATAGTATATAATTTACAAACTGTTTAACAACTATCATAATTTGATTAAAAGCTCATGTTTCACACTTCAGTTCATCATATTTCATTTTTCCTCGTTGCTTGTTGTCTTTAAATTGCTATATGTATACTAGTCGGTATACTTCACAATCTGATTGATTTTTTTTTAAGGATTTCTTGAAGCATTTTTTTTGTCTTGATAATCACTACAATGGCTCATTTCTTGCCTTTGATTATGTTGATATCTTGGAACTAATTGCAAGGAAGCACGTCAATAATGTAAGTTTTTTATTTTCAATCCGGTTAATCAATAAAGCTTGCTAAAGATTAACTTTTGCTGATTATGAAACTCAAAAAAACATTCCAATTCGATTAAAGATTCAATTTTTCCACTCATTAGACTCACTTGCAAGGAAGCACGTCAATGATGAATCAATCTTATTATTTGTATAACAATACCTTTTTAGGGAATGTTTTCATTTTCCGGGTCCATCCAGGTCTAAACCCCGTAGCCGGTTCCAATTATCTATTTTCGGTTTCAACCGGTTTCATATCCACTTTACCCGATCCGATACCTCGAATCGTAACCGGTTCCCCTATACTGGTCTCGTTTCCGGGTCTTAGAATCCTTTAATTTTGGTTTTCGGGTTTCCCGGGTCCGGGTCAATCGGTCCGAGTTTGGACCCACTTTCATCCCTATATGATATACGATTTTTTTGACTTATGGATTAGTCCAAACATCCCATTCAAGTTTGACCAATTTGTTTTCCAGACCATTGAACATTTTTTTTGTATACATGTGACTTCCTCTACAAAACTTCAAAAGACTTGACGTTTTCGTTAAACCTTCACATCCAAAGCATTCCAAGAATATAAGATACATGATTTTTTTCTTTATTCTGGATCATTCTAGATTTCCTCTTCAAGGTGGTCCTAAAAATTGTTTATGATACCATTGAACTTTTTTTGTACACCGGACAACCTGTGGAAAAAATGTCATAGCTTCTACTACAAAACTCCAAAAGGCATGCTATTTTTTCCATTGGGAACTACACATCTAAAAATTTCTAAGCATATGATATACACGGTTTTTATTGACTTATGGATCACTCTAGACTTCCCGTTGAAGTTGGTCCAAAAATAGATTGGAGAACCCGTGACAAAAATGTTATGTCTGTTACTATAAAACTCCAAAAGAGTTGTTTTTTATTGGAAACTACACATCTAAAGCACTGATACACATGTATTTTTGACTTATGGATTGTCCATACCTCTCGTTGAAGTTGGTCCAAAATATTGGTTTAGACCATTGAACTTTTTTTTTTGTGTACTAGACATCCTGTGAGAAGAAACGTCATAACACTCTACAAAACACCAAAGAACCAGACGTTTTTTCATTGGAAACTACACATCAAAAGTTTTTCAAGCATATAATATACACATTTTTTGACTTTTGGATGATTCCATACTTCCTGTTGAAGTTGGTCTAAAAATGGTTTTTGAGACACCAAACATTTTTTTGTACAATCTACAGCGTGTGACAAAATTTTTATAGCTTTCTCTACAAAACTTCAAAAGAGTTTTTATTTTTCATTGGAAACTACACATCTAGAGCTTTCAAAAGATATAAGATACATGCTTTTTTTTTTAAATCGTTTCAGACTTCCCGTTGAAGTTAGTCTAAAAATATTTTTTCAAACCATCGAATATTATTTTGTACATTGGACAGTCTGACAAAAATGTCATAATGTCCTATACAAAACTCCAAATTGCATGTTTTTTCATTGGAGGCAACATATACATAGTTTTCCAAGCATATAAGATAAATAATAAGATCGTTCCAAACTTCCCATTCAAGTTGGTCCAAAAATACTTTTTAAGACCATTGTACATTTTTTTATATTAGGAAACCTATGGGAAAAAATGTTAAAGTTAAAAAATCTTCAAAATATGAATAAAATTTTCAATAATTTATAAACCGTGAATAAAAATTAACTTTATTTTGAATTTAATTCATTTACGTATATTTACAAATTGCAGGATTGGAGATTGAATCAACAGAAAAATACCAATACATGAATATGTCAATGATTGTTTTGGAAAACATGGAGGAAGGAGATATACATAAGGAGAAAATTGATGCAAAAACCTGCGAAGAAAAGAAAACAAATGGTTCATCTTAATTATGCAAAAAAAAGCTGTAGGATCGTTCAGATTCTAAAACATAGAATTCATGTTTGTAGCAGAGAATCGAATGAACACAAGCAAGTAAATATGATCTGGTTTTCGATTAAAGAATAAGAAGTTCAATAAAAAATGGTAGTAAGAACCTCGCAAAGATATTCTCTCTATCTAACTAACATCCTTATATATAGGTTCACAACTCAAGGAGTCGGTTAGGCATTCACCCAGGTATGTGTGACAATTGGTCAAATTAGGTTAATATCCATTGGTTAAACCACCCCGAACCCACTTGTAATAGGACCTAATGTACAGTGTTCCATATAACGAAGGCAAATATAGTTTTTCATACTTAGAATTGCATACGAAATACTCTATTTTGTTATCTAAAAATATGAATCGTAGTTGAACAGAACACTATTAACAACAAATAAGTATTAATTAATGCATTAAAAATGAGATTTATGTGTTAATCATACTTATGAGGATCTAATCCTCTACATATATATAGCGCATGTTAACATGATTCCGTGGATATAAAGACGTATGCAACAGATCTGCCCTTTTTATGAAAACGAATTGATAATATAACTGATTTTTCCGGAGACGAATATTGTATTGATTCATTAGGATAGTTGCACATTTTTTTAATTGTTTTCGAGAAAGTTTTTAAAATCAGACTATGTCATAATATTTTGTAACGGCCCGAAATCCAGGTATTCTTCTTTTGGCCCTGCAT